TACGTGGTGCATATACTGCAATCCTGCTGGATCACGCATGATGCCAGATTTGCTCGTCATAATTGGGTTGCAAGGGAACTTGCGAAACGTCTCCGTCGACTGGGGTACACCGTCTTCGAGGAGTTGCGAGCACCTACTTCGACGTCGTTCATCAAACCTGACCTCATCGCCGTTCGAGATCGCCGTGCAACTGTAATAGACGTCAGCATAGTCTCGGATGGGCGTGGAGTGATAGTGTGGAATGAGAAGAAGCAGAAGTATGGTGCTGATGAATATTCCCTCGCCATAACCTCAGCCCTACATTCTATCGTTTGTGATGTCGACTTTGGTTCACCAACTGATGATCATCTCTTATCGAGGGATCTGCTTTCCCCAATCCGCTAAGGCTGTTATTGGACTGGGACTTCCTAAGGTCGCAGTCAGTGACTTGTGTTTGCTTGCCCTTGTGGGCTCTCTGCATACTTATGATAATTTTATGTGTGGCACATGGCGTTGAATGTATATTTATACCATTTAATCTCACACCGGGCATGACGGGACGGACACTTGTGCCTGATGTGCGAGTCTTGAATATGCTAGCGCCTACCGCGCTTTGAAGAGAATTCAACATTGTTTGTCTTTGGTTGTGTTGTTGGTCTTTAGACGCGTGTTCCAATACCAAAATCTTTACATACTCTGAGATTCATCTCATCAGACTGGCACTGTCCTTCATATTCTCCTGTTACTCTTTCGCATTCATAGCTTGCATTCACTTTTTATGTTTGTGACCATGCTCTTCAAAAATAAATGATAATAGTCATACTTCAGTAGCCACCTGTTGTCACTGCAGACTTCAGGTCCACAAACCATTAGGTTTGCCTATGTGTTATTGGCTTTTAGACATTGAGAGTCTTGTGCACGTTTTCCCCATACTTCAGGGTAAGATTTTTCTCGGCTATGGTGTTTAGAATGATTTGCTCGGGTTTCATTCATATTAGCCCAGTTACTGCGACAAACTGCGATCAATAAAATTTTCCCATTTCATTTGTTAGTTTCTGTTTTTCATTTTATCTATATACTTCTGGGTCGTTCTACTTGCATTTCCTTTCTGCTTCGGGGTTTTAACCACTTGAGCACGCAGTGGCTTTTTAAAGAAGCTGTACAAACTGAACACTGTCGCCAACCTTGGTCCCAATATCAGGGGCACACTGCAATTAAGAAATTGACTTGATCGTGCACGGTAATCAGTAGATCGCTGTTTG